GTTGTATTGCTGTGTTGCTGTGTGTTGCTGCGTGTTGCTGTGTTGCTTTGTGTGGCTGTGTTGCCGTGTGTTGCTGTATTGTTGTGTTTCTGCTTGTTGCCAAGCAGGCAGCAGAGCCCGGCTTCTTTTAGCCGGCGGAAACAGCCACAATAACAACAACAATAACAACAATAACAACAACAACAACAACAATAACACAATAGCTCATTTAGTGGTGGAGCAGCTTCTTACACGGCGACAAACACGACACATTACAGCGTGTCATGCTTTCCAGCTCATCCAGACACAATTAAACGCTGGATCACTGTGCCTCTCCGTGGGGATTACAGGAGCCGGTGGGGTCTCCCTGGTCTGTTCGATCCAGTCTGAGTTAACCCCAGAGCCCCCCCCACTCTGATCCAGATCTGGGGGAGGCAGCCTGAGCTGGAGTCTAGCTGATTCAGTCAAACAGAAAAGCACAAAACTTACAGGGACTTCTTCAGAAGTCCACACACACCCAAAGGCACACTGGCATTAGCTCTGCTTAAAGAGGGAGAGCTGAGTCCCATCAGGTCCCATCTGGTCCCATTGGGCATGTCTCAGCCTGATACCTGATCCAAGAGGAGCAAGTTTTAGGCCAAAAGCTGAAGGCATCATGTGATTATAAAGATGAAAAACCCACAACAGCCAAAGAGCTGAATGCTCGTCTGGACTCCCCCACTTTTATTTTTATCAGAATAACACAGGAAACGATCAGACCAATACATAACAAAATAAAACCAAACCCCAAACCCTGGGAGGCTGGAACAGGATGCTCCCACAGTCTGATTATGACAAATGAAGATGACCTTAACAAAAAACACTTGTACAGCCACCTTCCAGAAGCTGATATTTGTAATGCTCACACCCTCACAGCTGGATGGAGAGAAAACACACAAACACACAAACACACACAAACCGAGCCCAACATCACACAGACACACAGGCTTCCAGCCACCAGTCTGAGCTAATGGGCAGACTGGTCCAGCCGCCAGTGGGGGGGCTCCCACCGGCAGCCTGGGGGGTCCTGAGGCTCTAAAACAGGGGTGCTCACACTTTTTCAGCATGGAACTACTTTTGAAATGACCAAGTCAAAATGATCTACCCGTTATATTTATTGGGAAATATATTGAGGATTCTTACAACTTATGTTGATGTATAACCACATATGTTGCACAACACAACATAACTATGTACATATTTTGCCATTATCTGAGTTCACTCTTATGACTTGCACTGAATTGAACTTGGTCCAGCTCCCCCACTCACTTTGTAACTAACGACTAGCTTGTTAGCTTAGCTGCGCTCAGGGGTGTTGTTTGACCGAATTGTACGGGAAAAAATCAGAAGTCATCTAACTGGTTGTCCTGTGTATCAGTCAGGTGACGGATGGCTGATAGGCTGACGTCTAGTTTTTATTCAAAACAACTCAACTTTATTTGTATAGCGTCAGTTCGTTACTATGTCACCTCACCTTGTCATGTGATCTACCGATAGCACCTGGAGATAGACTGGTAGATCGTGATCTACGTATTGAGCACTCCTGATCTAAAAGCAGGAGGAAAAGTCCGGTAACAGAGGGTCTGAGGGTCTGAGTTCTCCTGGAGGAAATACGGATTTTCCAAACGACTGTCTGACTGTGTGAGAGTGAAGCGGGCGGCTGTTTCTGTAGAAACTACGGCCTCCGACTGGAAGGTCAGGGGTTCAACTCCCCGTCAGAGTCTGAAGCCCCGGCTGCCCGCTGAGTGGACAGGTGGACGTCGTGTGGTGTGAAGTGCTCCGAGTGGTGGGTTTGAGTGGAAACCCGCTGTGGAAGTGCATGTGCATTTGCATTAAAGTTGTATAAAGATGTTATGGAGTCAGAAAGTGGAAGAACCCCCCCCCCCCCCATTGCCATTTGGCTGTTTTGGGCCAGTCTCAGCTCTGCCTCTGAAAGGTCACCTGTCTGTTTCCCCTCAGGTCCGGTGGAGCAGGTCCAGCTTCTGGCCCCCTTCGTGGTCATCAGGAACAAGGAGGTGAACCTCAGCGCGCTGGTCCTGCCCAGCCAGCCCCGAACTCTCACCTACTTCTGGTGGCTGGGCAACAGCACCGAGGTACCGCCTCCACTTCACTTTTGGACTGTTGTCCTGCAAAAAATAAATAAAACTAGACTATGGCTGTGAGAATACTGAGTGGTGAATGGAGGAAGAAGGAGAAGAAACCAAAGAAAAGCTGAAAAAGACATAGAGTGGAAGAAAAAAGGCTGAAGGGAGGAATAATTTTAAAGAGCTGAAAACTAAAGAGTGGAAGAAGAAAGGTAAAAGGATTTGAAGAAGAGTAAAAGGCCCTGAAATTATAGATAAGGTACAAGAAGATTTGAGTGGGATTTGAAACGGCAACTTCTGGACTTCTACCACTGAGCTATACCACAGGCTGAAGGGTTGTAGGTGTGATCAGGTGTGATCAGGTGTGATCAGGTGTGATCAGGTGGAGGTGTGAGCAGGTGGAGGTGTGAGCAGGTGTGATCAGGTGTGGCTCCTCCCCCTTTAGCCTCTGGTGACTCTGGATGGCAGCATCTCTCACAGCTTCAGCGGCGAGGGCTCCCACACCGTCACCGTGCAGGTTTCTGCCGCCGGCAGCATCCTGCAGGACAGCCGGGCCATCGCCGTCCGGGGTGGGTGTCCCCTCTCCTAGCATTAGCTACCTGGGGGGGGGCACTGAAGTTAATGCTGACTCTCCTCCACAGAGTTCTTCAAGTCTCTGCTCCTGTCTTTCTCCCCAAACCTGGACGAGTTCAACCCCGACATCCCGGAGTGGAGGCTGGACGTGGGGAGGGTCATTAAGAGGGCTCTGCTCCAGGTGAGAGTTCACTTCCTGCCCACTGACTAATCCTGCAGCCCCAAACTGAAACACATTTTCAAGGTGCCCCCCTCAGATCATATTTGATTCCCCCTGACCTGGGGAGTGGACAACAGGAGCTCCTCTTTTACCGGCTGCAGCCTGAAGCTGAGCAGCTCTTTTGGGCTCTTTTAGCCTCCCTCCTGTCAGTCTGATATCAGGTGTGCGGCGTGTAGATCTGTTTATGTGAGCAAAGATGACATCAGGTTCCCCCCCCGACAAACAGGCCGTCCCAGCCCTGACAGGAGCTCTGCCCCCCCCCCCCCCTCTGTCACGGCTGAGAACTCCTGAGACGGAGGCTGATGGCCCCTCAGCAGAGTAAACAAACCCCCACGCCGAGCTGGGGGGGGCAGTTAGTCCCCCCGGTCTGCTGGGGGGGGGCTGAGCTGTCTCCAGCTCACTCATCTCAGAAGAGGCTAATGACGACGCCTACCTGCTCCCCCCCCCCGGCTCCCCGCCATCCTCTGAGAAGGTCAGAAACAGCAGGTTCTGGGCTCCCTGACTCACCTCTGGCTGCACGTATCAAACCCAGGTCCCTGATGCTAGCCCACAAGTCCCTGATGCTAGCCCACAGGTCCCTGATGCTAGCCCACAAGTCCCTGATGCTAGCCCACAAGTCAAATGCAGAAACAGAAACATAAACACCTCCGGGGCAAACGCCCCCCTGGGCAGAAGTTCAGGTGGAGGCATGGCCCCCGTGAGGGTGGTCTGGATTCAGTTTCCTTTATTCCCATGATTTCTGAATCTGCTGCCATGTCAGAGTCATAAGCCCGGATTCTCCCGGTCTTTGGGGGGTTCTACTCTCTGTTCTGTCTCTTTAGCGTGAGCCGGCGGGTTTGATCGAGGCGTCGTCCTTTTACTGTTAGTCTGACGGCACTCGGCATAAACACGGTTCAAGTGCATTGATTTCTGTCCTGTTCTCAGCAGCTATTACCTGGTTTGACATTGTTCTCTGTCTCCGGCCCTCTTTGTCACCGGGGCTGTGACAGACAGGCCGGCGGCCGTTTGGGAGCCCCATAATTGGTGCATTTTCACCGCTTTGGCTCCATTGTCCACGCAGACCTCAGAGAGAACAGAAAGGCTTTCCAGGCTCTGGAATACAGAGTGATTGCCCCCCGGATCCAGCCTCTCTCTGCTCCCGGTGACTGGTTAAGAGACGGGGACCGGGAGCGAGTGGCGTGGAAGGAATTGCTCCCCGATGCTGGTGGATGAGCGGCTGACAGCCGACTCACGGGTCAGCTGTCAGAAAACAACGCTCCGCCAGAAAAGAGGCCATTTTGAAGTGACCTCGGACGAGTCCTAGTTTCTGAGTCATGCTCAGAGAGCTGTGAGCCACTTCTGAAAAGAGCTGAAGGTAAAGGTTAGAGTTTGCTGCTGTCTCACAGACTCTGCTCCGTTTGATTTGCTCTGTTCTGCAGAGCACACACGGGGCTCTTTTCACATGTACAGCTGGATACTTAAAAACCTGTCCACCAATCCCGTTTATCTGATTTTGAACGGGGGAAATTAAGATCTATGACCAAGAATTGTATGTTGAGATGAAAGTTTTATTTATTTATGGATGATGGATGGATGGATGGATGGATGGATGGATGGACGGATGAATGGAT